AGTCGGGGTTAATACATCATCCTCCGTGAACAGCTCCCACAAAACCGTCATTTTTTTTCTTTTTTCTTTTTTTAGAGAGCTACGTATTTTTTATACCATCGTCATAAACAACTTAAAGCTAAAGGTTCAACTGCAACTGATTTGTTCAACACTTGACTGATGCAAATACATTTTCAAACAAATAGTCAAGGGTTCGTCAGCCATACGGTTGGATAGTGGTCTTTCTATTTGCCTTACATCAAGAAGATCACCAGTTTGAAACCAGGTCTTTGTATATATTCCTGTGGGGGAGGTCAGGTGGGGAGGTTTGATGAGGGCAGTAGGGAGGTTCACCAAGCACTCAAGTGTTTTCCATCAGACCAAAGAAAATGTGGAATCAGGTTAATGGTTTACTCTACACGTACTACTGTCAAGGTAGTATTTCAGATTGTAGAAACAAAATGCAGAGAGTTCTTGGAGTTATTTATCGTACAAGTTGAATCATCCTTCAGTTGCTGCTGGTCCCAAGATTGACCAAAACTCAAATACTATATTGCACTTATTGTATATTTTATGTTCTGAGAAGAATCACTTCATCAGACTTAAATATGTAGCTTATTCCTTTGTTTTCTTTTGCAGTTGCAGTTGCAGTCAGTTGGGCTACTTGTGTCTTTTCAGTGAGTCCTCTGTCTCGGTGGAACGGACAAGGAGAGTATAAAAAAGAGGGCGAGCCAAGATTTCGTTTAAATCTAAATAACAAAGGCTAACATTGACGTTCTTGTGAAGCACAATGGAGACCTGGTCAGGATCAGCTGCAGGATTAGACACAACATCTGGTTACTTTCTTTCCTCCGTCACGTTTTCTCTGAAGCCTGATTAAAACGGTCCGTATGAAAGGGCTGCAGTGGGAGGGGTCAGAGTCGGGTCAACACTGATTATCGATTGCAAGCAAATCAAAATTAGCACATACAAGGAGAGCGGAGCGGGGAAAACACCGTCAGTCACCGCGAGTCAGTCCGCTCAGCACTCCTCTAAGACTGCGCCACAGTCCAGTGAGGTCACGCTCACTGGAACTAGCGGCAGTGTGTTGAGGTTAGTGGACGTGACCTGGTAAGGACTGTGAAAAATGCTAATTCAGGAACTGCATTTTTTTTCCATTATGTCTCTGTAAAGTTCTCACATGTATTGTGGAAACCAGTATGTGTATGTGTGTGTGTGTGTGTGTGTGTGTGAGCGAGCTCATGAGACCAAAGGAGGCCATGAAGGAGTGCTGGTTCAGTCCCCACTCCTCTCTCTTTCATATCATGGTACAGCAATCAGTGACTGATGTGTGTTTACCTCGGTGTGAACGCAGCTGTATGTATAATTGAATGTGCACGTGAGTGCACGTGCAGGCGTGTGTGTGTCATTCCTCCGTGATCGATGCGCGGACTTCTCTGTGCATGTTAGATGAAAGTGTTGTGTGGTGTTTATGCTAGCTGGAGTCATGCCGGGAACAATAAGAATCCTTGATCATACATCAAAGGCTTTCACGTGCACGTCCGCTCACTCATTCTCACCACGCTCGTGCACGTGCCGGCGTACACAGAAGTAAGAGAGAAAGTTGAAGCTAATCCTTCTGTGTCCTGTTGTTCTTCAGTTCCAGGACACTTCAGGCTTACTCTAGTGGACAAACACCAGACACAGCAGGTGTCACGTCTTCAGAGACCAGGACAGTGGACGGTAAACCAAACACTTTTGTGCGAATCGCTTCATTAACCTCAGTGATACGTGACCAGGAACTCAGGTTACGGTCAGGCTACGGTCAGGCTACGGTCAGGCTACGGTTACGTTGCGGTCAGGCTACGGTCAGGTTACAGTCAGGCTACGGTCAGGCTACCGTCAGGGTACGGTCACGTTACTGTCACGTTACGGTCAGGCTACGGTCAGGCTACGGTCAGATGGCAGGAGTTGTTGCTCATTTCTGTTTATTTTTGCTGAAGTCGCATCTTGCTGCTTGGTTCTCATTAAAGTTTTAATGCGCTCCTTATCACACAGTCTACGGCCGTGAAGTGACCCACATGTGCAGGTGACATGGCAGGAGTTGTTGCTCATTTCTGTTTATTTTTGCTGAAGTCGCATCTTGCTGCTTGGTTCTCATTAAAGTTTTAATGCGCTCCTTATCACACAGTCTACGGCCGTGAAGTGACCCACATGTGCAGGTGAGGACGTGGCCCCACACTGAAGTAAATCTGGATGCTAAACATATCAGTAGCTTTGAATATAGTGGTGATTGAACCACGTGCCGTATGACAGCGGCCTGGATGGATTTGACGAAAAAAGAAAAAAAAAAGGTTGTGGTATTTAGACCGTCATAGAAATCAAATATAGGTCTAATTTGAAAAAAAAAATTGATTTGAGCCGCTGGGCTCGGGAGTGTAGATAGATCGTCATTTTGGAGTGCGGTGGCAGAAGATGGAAGAGCTCTTGATCGCTGCTTCAATCATTGGTTTTTCTAAATGGAATTTTCATGATCTGTTATGTGTGGTTGTTGGTGGCGTCGGGGGATTCCCTCCTTCTTTTCAAAATACTGAACGTTCATCTAGAGTTAATACAATATCCACAGCAGTAGTAGTTCATAATGGAGCGGCTGAATGGACTCATTGAGCAGAGTCCTTCACTACAGTACGAGTTGACCAGGAGAATTATTTCCTGAACAGGGACCTTTATTTTTTTGTATTCAACACACGAACAACTGCACCGCTGTCTGTTTAAACCAAGAACCTTTACTAATGCTTTGACTGAACATGTTTTAAAATTTTATATTTAGGAGAGAGATGGAAATCAATGATTTGCTGTGGCAACCCCTGAAAAGAAAAAAGGGACAAAGCTGAAAGAAAAAGAAGAAAGAAGAATTACTCTGTTTTTCTTGTTGGTTCTACTGGCATTTAAAACGAAATACAGGGTTTCCTCAACTTACGTCAGGATTCCATTCTTATGGCACAATGTAACAAGATTCTCGCTGTTAGCTGGAACTAGCATACCATACAAGTACCAACGTCATTAACCTATGTTAACATCATAATCTAGGACATAAAAACCTCAGCAGAGTCTGACTTACGCCTTGGAGCCAAAATGAAGAAAAACCTATTCGTCCCCTACGCTTGCTGAATTGTTCAAAACTGGTTCAACGCTGTGCGTCGGAATGATGGAAAAATATTTACTTTAAAAAAAATATGTCAGATGGTGACGTAACTACAAAAACTACGGAGCCTACGTATGCTGATTGAAGCATGGATGCATTGGCGGGCTATAAAGGGTTAAACAGCACCATGACAATTCCCTGTGAAGTCATACTGTAGAATAAAATAAACCAAATACTAAACACCCTGAGAGTCAGAGGAAGAACAGGCCTCGAACCTTCAGCTGACGGAGGTCAGCAGTGATGTTTTGGCTGTTTAATCTGACTGATGTTTTTTGAAAAGCCAGCAGCCAGAGGCTAGTAGGAGTGTTACTGTCACTGACAGGTCAGGAAAAGAAAGAAAAAAAAAAAAAAAAAACAACGTTGAGACATTAGCCCTGTCTTGTCTTTG